GATCAGCTGATATAGTCCAGTTACGTCACTGATCAGCTGATATAGTCCAGTGGACGTCACTGATCAGCTGATATAGTCCAGTGACGTCACTGATCAGCTGATATAGTCCAGTGACGTCACTGATCAGCTGATATAGTCCAGTTACGTCACTGATCAGCTGATATAGTCCAGTGACGTCACTGATCAGCTGATATAGCCAGTTACGTCACTGATCAGCTGATATAGTCCAGTTACGTCACTCATCAGCTGATATAGTCCAGTGACGTCACTCATCAGCTGATATAGTCCAGTGACGTCACTGATCAGCTGATATAGTCCAGTGACGTCACTGATCAGCTGATATAGTCCAGTGACGTCACTGATCAGCTGATATAGTCCAGTGACGTCACTGATCAGCTGATATAGTCCAGTGACGTCACTCATCAGCTGATATAGTCCAGTGAGTCACTCATCAGCTGATATAGTCCAGTGACGTCACTGATCAGCTGATATAGTCCAGTGACGTCACTCATCAGCTGATATAGTCCAGTGACGTCACTCATCAGCTGATATAGTCCAGTGACGTCACTGATCAGCTGATATAGTCCAGTGACGTCACTGATCAGCTGATATAGTCCAGTGACGTCACTGATCAGCTGATATAGTCCAGTGACGTCACTGATCAGCTGATATAGTCCAGTGACGTCACTCATCAGCTGATATAGTCCAGTGACGTCACTCATCAGCTGATATAGTCCAGTGACGTCACTGATCAGCTGATATAGTCCAGTGACGTCACTGATCAGCTGATATAGTCCAGTGACGTCACTGATCAGCTGGTAAGCATTTTCCTTATTTTCAAAGAAAAGTTTCTAATTAACTTATTTGAATTAATATAATTATATTATATTAATAACGTAAGTTACTGACTTGGTTATGTTAGATTAGATAACTCCAATTAAAAAAAAAGTTAAATCATATATAATATAATAGAAAGCTTTATCATTCCATAAGAAAAAATATATAAAAATAAATAAATAAATAAATATATATATATATATATATATATATATATATATATATATATATATATATATATATATATATATATATATAATATACTTTCTGGGAGGTGAAGGGACGTATTGACAGGTGAGGAGAGGGTGATAGTGTTGACGGCGGCCCAATACTGTGGTGACAGGGAGTCGATGGTCACTATACCCAACAGTTCTACGGTAACTCGGGTATATCGACGATATACCCGACGTCTCATTCTACAGTGACCTTAGCTGATCGACCGTAGGTAAATGTGTAGCGAAACAGTATCTGAACAGCCCTACCTTACCTTGAGGTGCTTCCGGGGCTTAGCGTCCCCGCGGCCCGGTCGTCGACCAGGCCTATGTAACATGTAAGTAACAACTGGTTGTATATCTAAGGAGGGAAGTAATAAAGAACTAGATGTTTAATATCTGGTGACGATGTAAACAAAAATCAGCTGATCGCCCCCAGGTGACGATGTAAACAAAAATCAGCTGATCGCCCCCAGGTGACGATGTAAACAAAAAACAGCTGATCGCCCACCAGGTGACGATGTCAACAAAAACCAGCTGATCGACCCAGGATAAGAATGTAAACATAAGCCAGCTGTTCTTCCACAGCTGGTAACGTAAATAAAAATCACTTTACTATGGTAACTGAACAAGACAAAAAAAAGGCATTGCTTTAACTACACCTCGTTCTCTTCTTAACGAAAATGTAGTTTTAACTGCCACCTGATATCAAGTTACCCAGAGTTTATAAACCCGATATATATTTGTAAACATATAAGTTCCATTACATGTTTACTAACATTCTAAAAATGCATTGTTGTGAACATAACAGTAGGAGAGACAGAGCTAATTAACGGGATGACATAAAGGACACTCGATAATTAATTTGTCAGGAGAGAGAGAGAGAGAGAGAGAGAGAGAGAGAGAGAGAGAGAGAGAGAGAGAGAGAGAGAGAGAGAGAGAGAGAGAGAGAGAGAGAGAGAGAGAGAGAGAGAGATGTAATCAGAGACAGTATAGAAATTATAATTAATTTTTTTCAAAAATATCTACAAAAATAGCCAAGGTAATGTACAAACCAGTCCTCTCGAATAATACATCGTAGTTTTGACGTCAAAATATGATGTATTATAGATCATAACGGCTCGCAAAATTAACGGGCTACAACGGTTTCTATTTGTGGGTCCTCTGTTAGGTTAATATAGCTTCGGCCAACTTAGTACATCATTTTTGTGACGGTGTAACATTTAGAGAGGACGGACTGACATAACAGACCTTCTTAAGCACTTTCTTGCCCGCTTGCGAGATGTATATCACACCTCAGTCTTACCATCTCATCTTACGACACTATACACCACGTATATGAGACCAATACTAGAGTATGCAGCACTAGCTTGGGATTCACTGAGATAACGGAACTGAATTATGAAATCAAGCTGAAAGAGTTAACTCTTAAACCCATGGTGAGGTGAGGAAACTGTAGAATACAAAGGGACACAAAGGGGTGGAACTTGTACGAGGGATACAAAGTGGTCAGGGGTCAGATTCACGAAGCAGTTACACAAGCACTTACGAACCTGTACACCTTTTCTCAATCTTTGGCGGCTTTGTTTACAATTATTAAACAGTTAATGAGCTCCGAAGTACCAGGAGGCTATTTATAACAATAACAACAGTTGATTGGCAAGTTTTCATGCTTGTAAACTGTTTAATAAATGTAACCAAAGGTGTCAAAGATTGAGGAAAGATGTATACGTTCGTAAGTGCTTGCGTAACTGCTTCGTGAATCTGGCCCCAGACCAGGACGAAGGGACATGAAAACTAGACGTGAAAGCGAGTCAATAATAAGCACAGAATTAATTAGAGAAAAATGTAGGGAACCAATAGAGAAGAAAATAGAATAGGGAAATAATCAGGAATAAGTTGACCAGACCACACACTAGAAAGTGAAGGGACGACGACGTTTCGGTCCGTCCTGGACCATTCTCAAGTCGATTGTGTCCAGGACGGTCCGAAACACAGCTGTGAGAGAACACCCTCCAAACACAGCTGAGAGAGAACACCCTCCAAACACAGCTGAGAGAGAACACCCTCCAAACACAGCTGAGAGAGAACACCCTCCAAACACAGCTGAGAGAGAACACCCTCCAAACACAGCTAAGAGAGAACACCCTCCAAACACAGGAGAAAGAACACCCTCCAAACACAGGAGAAAGAACACCCTCCAAACACAGGAGAAAGAAACACACCCTCCAAACACAGCTGAGAGAGAACACCCTCCAAACACAGCTGAGAGAGAACACCCTCCAAACACAACTGAGAGAGAACACCCTCCAAACACAGAGAGAGAGAACACCCTCCAAACACAGCTAAGAGAACACCCTCCAAACACAACTGAGAGAGAACACCCTCCAAACACAGCTAAGAGAACACCCTCCAAACACAACTGAGAGAGAACACCCTCCAAACACAGCTAAGAGAACACCCTCCAAACACAGCTAAGAGAACACCCTTCAAACACAACTGAGAGAGAGAACACCCTCCAAACACAGCTAAGAGAACACCCTCCAAACACAACTGAGAGAGAGAACACCCTCCCAACACAGCAGAAAGAACACCCTCCAAACACAGCAGAAAGGAC